GTTGATTCTGAAGATGATCCTTCTCGCCATCTTTCTACTGATTCTAAGCTGAGAGACCTTCGTCTTCATCAAGGACCTTATCAGCCTCGTTTGTCGAACTTTAGGGCGACTGTTCATAGAAATAAAAGCAGGAGCTTTTGTTCTAAATGGTATGAATTCCATGACTGGTTGGAATATTCTCCAATGATTGATAGAATTTTCTGTTTTGTTTGTCGTGCATTTGCTCATAAAGTCACTGGTAGCATTGGTCGAGTCGATTCTGCTTTCACCACAAGAGGCACACAAGCAAGTCAATGGAAAGAAGCTCGTAAAGTACTTGCAAAACATCAAGCTAGTACTGTCCATAAGCAAGCATCACTATCTTATTGTGATTTTCTGTCACTTGTACCAATCAATATGCAGTTGGACAGAGCTGCAGCCATCGAAGCATGTAGGCTAAAGGAGCAACAAGAGAGAAATCGTCAAGCCCTTTATCGTATAATTGATGTGATTACTTTATTAGTTAGGACTGGTCATCTGTTACGTGGTCACCGGGAAGGAGCTGACTCTAACAATAGGGGACTATTTCTAGAGATAGTAAATCTTTTGTCACAATATGATGGTGTCCTAAAGCATCACTTCGATACATGTCCCAGAAATGCTACATATGTATCAAAAGATATCCAGAATGACATAATATCAACTCTTTATCATATCATGATTGAAGAAGTGAAGAAAGAGCTCCATGCTGCATCATATTTCAGTGTGATGATGGATGAAGCTAGTGACTTTGGACACAAGGAACAAGTTGCTGTAGTCGTTCGATATGTTGATCGGGAATGCGTCATTCAAGAAAGATTCATAGATATTTCGTCCACTGACAGCACTGATGCCGGAGCACTGTTCCAGATATTGTTAGCTAGTATTGCCAAAGGTTGGATTGAATACAGATAAATTAATTGGTCAGTGCACATCCTCCTTTAGGAAGAGTCTTATTTTTTGTCACATAACACCTGCTAAGAAAGTTTCTTCCTTATATTGTGGGGTACATGCAAATGTTATGGCACTTGAGTATTTCATGAAAAAATTCAAGTTGTAAAATTCCTTTAACTGGTTTTGGGACATTGTAACTGTGCTTTTGTCTTAAGACTATAAGGTACATGCATAGATTAACTGTTTTGCATTGTACTGATGTACATAACTAGGTGTAACACTTACGTACATTTGTTTCCGCTATAGTTAGAAGAATTGGTTTATTGGACTAAAAGCATATCATTTTACCTTTTTTCTGGCTACAGAAACTGTTGCATAACAAGTTATGTGTGAACTACTATGAAGCTGTAGTTTAGAGTAATGGAGCTTATAGACCTGTTAAGTATAGGGTAAACACTCACCATCTCAGTCTATTTGTGCTTTAAAAGCGAGACTGTCCTTTTTAATTCAAAACAAACTTTCCCTCATCAGTTCACTTTTCCATTATGAGAAATGGAGGCCTTGTCGCAATTTTCTTGTACATGTATGTTTACAAGAGGTACATAGCACTTTCCTGATAAGTTTCTAAATGTGTGAGTACTCACAGTTTACATGCATTATCATGCCATGTTTTGTGTTGTTATTTTTTCAGGTTGTGTCGTTTGCCATCATTCTATTAGGCTTGGCTAAGCTCTGATTTACTTTATCTGAGTCACTCTATCTCTACGTAAATATGAATGAGCGAAGAATAAAAATCTAC